GATAGCTTTCCATTGCCTTAGAAATTTACGTGTCTTCCAATTAGTGTTGTACTTTCTCAAGTAAAATAAACATGATCTTGTGTACGTTTGAATGTTATTGTTATTTCGAAGGAGGATAAGTTACCTGGACCCACACTGAGCGTTTCTTTAAACGATTCACTTTCGTCTTCTCCACTCTGTTCCTCAGTCTGTTGTTTGTCCATTGGAACACTAACTACCTCTTCAAGTGAAGTTGAATCCTTTCCTTTATCAATCGTGGAAGGACTTGTTGCTATCAGAATGAAATTAATAAATTGTTTGCCAGTCCATCAAAATGATAACATACTACCCTGAGTCTACAATTGCTATATCCCTTCTGAACGTCTTAATCCATCCTAATATAGGGTGACCGCTTAATATGGTGCCGCTTGATACAGTTTCCACTGTATATCATTCCATCTATATTCATGAATAACCAAGAAAAGTTAACGATTTTAAAAATATCAAGTCTCTGCATTTTGATCCTAGCAAGCTAGAACCACTTAAAAAAACTTGTTTAGATCAACGATCGAGCCAGAGATTAATGCATACGTTGCTTTTTCGACGACACTTTGATATTTCTCAAGGGGCCATGTTCTCTCGTCGGTGGGAAAACTTCGTTTCTTAGTAATGTAGTTTTTTATATATTATTTTTTTATTCTTGGAGGGCTACTATTTTGCATTTGCAAATATTTTTGTTATGAGTGTATTGAAATTCTATACTGTGGTGATGCAGCAAAGACACTTTAAACAAGATCTTGTTGTTAGTTTAGATTTGTAGCTCTACATATGAATATCTTCTTAGCCTCGGTACCTTCTCGCGTAGAATAGCTTTCCATTGCCTTAAAAATTAAACGAGTCTGCCGGTTAGTCTTATACTTTCTTGAGAAAGAAAAAAAATAGGTATTGCCTGCGTTTGAATGTTATTGTTATAATGAAGGACGATAAGTTACCTTGGTTCTCACTGAGCGTTTCTTCAAACGATTCACTTTCGTCTTCTCCACTCTGTTCCTCAGTCTGTAGTTTGTCCTTCAGAACATTAGTAACCTCTTCAAGTGAGGTTGAATCCTTTGAATCACCAATATTCGAACGGGAAAGGCTTGTTTCTATCAAAACAAAACCAACAACTTGTTTGCCAGTCCATCAAAATGATAAAATTTTACCCTACCTCTACAATTGCTATTGCCCTCCTGGACGTTTCAATCTAAGAGGTTCTCCAATTCTCGTCTGCCATGCTACGAAAATACGCTACGACATTTATTAAGTGATGTAAAAGACGAATTAGAACCCAACAACAAACAAGAAGCAGTCACTACTTAATACAGAAAGCCTGGTGGGAATCTTCGACACAAGACTGACTGGAAACGGGAAACGGAAACATTGGTGGCTAGAACTGTTTGCTGCCTAACGCCGAGCACGTATTACTTTCAACAAACAGACTTTGGGGAGCTGGTACACTGAATTAGACCACCCTTCTCTTAATGAACAGATGCTAACAAAAACTAGCATCCTTCGAGCGGGTTAACCGCGACAGAAGCATAAGCTCAAAATTGACCTATGCTTCTGCAGTCTCTCTACTAATTGCATCTCGGCAAAACTAAAGACCAACCAGTCTCTGTGCGCTAGAATTGTGACAGATACTTGTATAATAATGTTTCAAAGTTTGTTTGGAAGCCTTTTAAATCACTTTTATCCTTACGCAAATGAAAATGTTCTCTTTAATTTGCGTCCCCTCTATTTTAACTACCATTTACTCGCTCAAAAACTGTTCAGTTTATGGAAGATCTTGCCGTATTTACAGCCTTAAATCATTCGGGTTATTTGGGAATGAATTTCGTCAAGTTTTAAAAAAAAATATGTTATTTACCGGCTAAGGGTCGGCAAATAACATATATATATTCTTATATCTTTTACTAAGACCATCGCAACTAATATAAAGGTTACTATCACATGTTAACAGGGCGGCCGCGGGGAACGTATTGCTTTCAGGTGCTATACTTTTTACAGGAAATACGTTTTCGCGTGTTTCCGAAGTTGCCTCTGCAATAAATCTTGCCTTTCTGAGCAAATCGGATTATCACAACTGGCAGAAGAAGCACCTTTTCCCTGTTATAAATGATCGTTGGCAGAAGAAGCACCTTTTCCCTGTTATAAATGATCGTTGGCAGCAGGAAAAGGCGGCAGTCCTCGCCGATCTCTTAGACAGGAACTCAGTCACTCTCCTCGGGGATGGACGTTGTGACTCCCCAGGCTATAGTGCCAAATACGGAACTTACACCATGATGGACAAAGAGAGTGAGAAAATTGTCGATTTCGAAGTTTGCCATGTAAAGCAGAGTACAAGTTCACAGGCAATGGAGAAACGTGGTTTTAAGCATTGTCTTGATCGCGCACTAAATAGTGGCATTCCTGTAGGTGTTGTAGGTACTGACAGGCACACCGGTATCAAGGCACTCATGAGAAGCGAGTATAAGGACCTCGGTGTTGAGCACCAGGTAGACGTGTGGCACTTGACTAAGAACATCAAGTCCAAGCTAGCCACGAAAGCCAAGAAGAAAGAATGCAGGGACCTCTCTCCTTGGATAAAATCCGTGACAAACCATATGTGGTGGTCAGCGATGACGTGTGACGGAAATCCCCAGCTCCTCAAAGAGAAGTGGGTCAGCATCCTCCACCACACGGCTGACAAACACGATTGGGATTCGACTGTGCTGTACAATCGTTGTGCACACGAGCCCATTTCCCCAAGGGCACATCGTAAAACGAAATGGCTAGTCGAAGGTTCCCCGGCACACGAAGCGTTAAAACATGTAGTGCTAGAGAAGACACTTTTAAAGGATTTGGACCTTCTAACGTAGACCATCCACACAGGGGCCTTGGAAGTGTACCATTCACTCTACAACAAATACGCGCCCAAGCGGCAACATTTTGGATACCTGGGAATGGTAGCACGTACACAGCTAACTGCTTTAGACCACAATTCGGGCACTGGTCGATCTCAAGCAGAGGCTTCGAGTGGGGAGAAACGATTCCGTTATGTTTATCCTAAGGGGATGAAGGATTGGGTTGTAAGGCCTGTTTTCGAAGAGAAGACCAAGCCGCACGTTACGGAAATGCTATGCTCAGTGTTGGAGATGAGAGACACGAAAGAGGAGCCAGAGCAAGTTCAAGTCCCTGATCTCCCAAAAAACATCGCACCCATTCCGCGCCCACCAAAAGAGGACCTTCTCGCACGGCATGTATCCAGATTTGGAAAAAAATTAAGCAAGTGAAAAAAATAGAAATACAGAAATCGAATTGTCCGCCTAAAATGGCACTAGCATTTACATTGTCAGTTTTCTATTTTTGGAACAGACTGTTGAAGGTATTTTAATGATTGGAACTGGAGCCGATACCCCTATAGCGCCGTGGACCTCCTTGAATGTGTAATAAAAACAAAGACAAGTTTATTAATTAAACGTGACTATCCCGGCCATGAGTCATTGTCCTCGGCATCTTTAAAGCCTGTATAATTTCCGGCTGCATCTGGGTAATTACGTCTTATTGATGCCACAACACACGAAGGAATCACGCGTCTGTTCCCTTTACCAAGTCTGTTATAAGTCCACCAAGTAAACTGTCTATAACCTGCCAATCGCATACTCCTAGGAAAAAACAAAAGACATTGATACATGCTCGGAACAGAACCCAGACAAATGCAGTTGAAACAAACAAATTCTACTTCGCCAAGCAGGGGCTCATTTGTAATGAGATCAATATCTTAAGCTAACATTGTGTGACAAAGGGAGACTTCCTGACGCTCGCCGTTTGATTAAGGCTCTGTTTACATGTAGCAAGTTTCCCTTTCTTATTTTCCCTCATTAAGTGATGTGATGATTCTCATAAGAACTCCTTCTTTCAAGTTTGTCTCGTCCACGTCCATATTTACTCATAATTTACCTCCATTAGGAAAACAAAGCACACAAACTGAAGAGGTCTACTGGCTCTTTACAATTAAATATAGCGATGAAGTTCACCCTTCAGACAAAAGACTACAACACCACTTGTATTAAAAGGGCTGACAACACTGCATTTGTTTCTTAGGGTTCGCGTTACACGAACTCGTAAACAACTAAAGCGTTTTGTTTGCATGAATTTTGTGAAAAATATTTATTCTGTCGGTGCTTACTCATTTGACGGATAATCTTCAAGTCTGTCATTTCTCACATGGTGCATGCCAACTAGGGCTGTTCTCAAGACGTCCGCTAGTAAACACACGGGTCCAAATGATCCGTGCTCTGTAATACACTGAAGCTTGTTACCTGCAATTTCAGTGATAGTTCATATCACTCAGTTAGCAGGGTGAAATAAATCCATTGCGGGCACTGCGCCGTTCTTTTGTAAAAAAATAAAAAATTATCACTTTAGAAACAAAGATTTTATTTGAGAAGAATTAATTACCTTCCAGATCGAGTCGATCACCTAGTACATCCATTTCTTGGCAGCATATACACTCGTTTTCTGTTGGCATCTCTTGACAGTTGCCGCAAGAGCACCATTCGCGATTTCCAAGACGTGAGCACGTAGATGTTTCTTCTTGTATCTCTTCCTGAGTTTCTTTGTCAACAGAAATTTCTTCTTCTCCTGAAGATGAGCTATGTTGAGGCTCAAACATGAATGGACGAATTACACCGTCTGGATTAAGATCCAAGTCGTGAATTGAGTCATTATCGCTCTCCTCGCCGCTGTTTTCTATGTTTTCATCCATCTTAGTCGACATTACAACGCTTGACTATTGCTACGTCATAGCTACGTCATAATAAAGATGGCGGATTTCAATTCCAAAATGTCAATTTTTTAAACGTAATTTCTGGCAACAAATACACTTAAAGCTCAAATGAATTGCCAATTATGAAAAAACAAGTCAGAAAATTTTGATATAGGTAAACTTTTTCTAGACCGTACTTCCCCTTTAATTTAGACATTGTAATTTTTTCTTTTCAGCAGCTGCATTCAATATTAAAGGTTTTCTGTGATGTCTGGGCCATCAAAGGTAAAATTAATAACTCATAAATTTAATTATGAAGCTATGAGAATGAGATTTTAGTGCAAATGGGACCCTTTTCCTGTAAAGTTAGGCACAACATTTACACCTTTGTTTGTCATTGTGTATCTTGAAACTCAGTCCTTGCAGATTCTTGACCAAGGACAAACTATTCATTGTTGTCAGGGTCTTACAGTGTTTAATTGTACAGTTATTCAATGAAAAACTCACTTTAAGTATCTTAATTAAAAAGGAAGGTTTTTCTGTCAACATTTGCTGCAGATATTTATGTCCCAAGCAGGTGTGAGTGGCCTAATTACTCCTGTAACTTTCTACTTTGTCAGTTTATCTCTGCATGGATGTCCTTATCAAAACTTAATCACAAAGTCACAAAGTTGTCAATCACAGTGTTCTCCCATTTCAATGAATTTTATTGATTTAAATGAACAGTTCATCATTGCAAGACTCTATCTCTGAGGTCTTTCAATTGCATGCGTGCCAGGCACTGTTGCTCCATTAATTACGAGATCTGAACAGATGGGAACTGCCTTGTTTCCATTCCACACGCTTGTGTTAATGGGGTATTCTTTGAAGGAGGTTCATGCACCAGAGTGGTGGGTGCCAAGGGTATTAATTCACTTGCAGCTCAACCTGGTTTTGTTGAAGGTGCTCTAATTTTGTCTGGCTGACAGATTGTGTTTCATGTGTAGATGAAAGATTACCTTTCCCAAATTTCTCCACATGGGAAGTATTTCTTGAGCACTGGGTCCCACTTGGAGTTTCTATAACAGTACTGTTGCCAGTCTTGCTAACCACTTGGGATTGCATTGGATTGAATGGTGTGGAGAATTTGTCATTTTGTCTTTCACTAGCACTCGATAGCCAACTTGAATATCAAATTGGTTTTGTGGTTTTAGCCTTGTCTGTACATGCTTTGGTCTTTTCTTTTACCTTAACAAGTCTGTATGTGGCAATCAGCATGTAGCTCAGGCAATTTTGCTCTCATCTTCCTTTTAACCCTTTAACTCCAAGAAGTGACCAACATGTAACTTCTCCCTATGATATCCATATGTTTTCTGGCAAATGGTTAATGAGAATACTCAAACTTATCAGGAAGTTTTTATCTTGATCTTACACCAAATTCTCTTAACTAATTTACAAGGAATTGTGTAGCAGCAAGAGGAGAGAATTGACAATCAGATCTTGGGAGTTTAAGGGTTAATCAATACTCCTCATGCCTTTTAGCAGATCAATACCTCACTACACTCTCACATATCCTCTTTATCCTTTATCCAGTCAACTGCTACAGTTTGGTCAATGCAATTCTCTTCATTAGGATGGCATTTTGTCTTTCAAGTTCCCTATTGGCCTAGGGTGGTTTTGGTGTGGTCTTAAGATGCACAATGCCATTCTGCTTACAGTATTCTTGGAATTGTCTTGATCAGAATTACGGTCCGCTGTCTGACTTGGTAGTTACAGGAAGACCATGGCTGCTGAGGATCTCTTCTAGGTGGTCAATTACTTCCACATACTCATGATAATGGCCATAGTAGTTGATGACAAGTAGTATGGATGGTCCAGATGGGAGTGGCTGTAGAAGGTCTATGGCTTGGTCTCACTAAGGACCCTTTGGCAATGTCATTGATGTCAGCAGCTCAAGGGAATATGGATGTGCAACCAGTTGACATTCATAACAAGATTTGCAGAATTTTTCTGCTACCTTGTCCATACAAGGCCACCATACTTTGCTTCTCAAATTTTGTTTTGTTCCAACAATTGCAACATGTAAGTGTCCCTTATGAGCTAAGACATTTGTTTTGGGCCTTGGCCTGTTGGGTAGCACAATTTGGGTACCTCATAGGACTATTCATTGATCACACACAGTTCATGAGCAGCTGGTGCATAAGCCTGGCATTTATTGAATCAACCAGTTTTAATTGCCTGGCTCAGAGTTTTTAACTCTTCATTCATTGCAGATGTTTCTTCAATTTCTCTTGTGGTGTAGTGCTGATGGTTACAAGTTGAAGATATCTTTTGCTATGTCTTGATGATTTGTCACTTTGTTCTGACTCAGCAAATGTGAAAGATGGTTGGCTAGGGTTGTAGGTGGATTAATTAAGTATCAATGCAGGAACAGTATTTGGAGTGGGGCTTATAGATCACTTTTAGTTTGTGATCAGTAACCAGATCAAATACCATTTCATAAATGTACATGTAATCATGGTACCTCTTGCATGCCCAAAAAAGGGCAAGGGATTCTCTCTCAGTCTGGAAGTATTTACATTCACACTCTGAGGCTGTGGCTTGCACAGATAATGGGCACCCACGTACCATTCTGGTCCTGTATTAACACCTGGCTCTGAGGCCAGCAAGACTCACATCTGCAACAACCCTTGTTGATGTATTCTTGTCAACATATGGAAATGTTCCAGCCACAGCCATGTTCTGCTTTAGCTGCCCTTGTTAAGTTAAGCTATTTGCCCCCCTTCCCCCCAAAACAATGTTGTATCCTGATTCCACAAACTTCTAGCTACATACAGGTAACATTGAATGGGGGAGGGGGGGTCATGTCAATGATTAAGAGTGTGGTAGACATAGGAGTGTCATTCTACACATAAATAGAACTCTGCAAAAACACTATGTGGACTGACTTTGATGCTGATTAATAGCTTGCTAAAAACCTTACAGCCATTCTTGTTGTGTGACAGCCCATCTACTGTTGGTATGGGGTAGTGACCATGCACATCTATGCAGAGCCAAATGTCACCATCTGTCTTTGGAATAATTACTACAGGTTTCAGCCATGGTGTAGGACTGTCAACTTCTTCTATGATGTCAGAGTCTAATAGTTCTTGAACTTTCCTTCCCAAATTGCAAATTGAAGGGAGCTACCCTTAGCAGTGTGCTTCTGGTTTCACTGTTGGGTCTTTGTGTGATGTCCCTTGTTCAGACTTCAGCTTTCAAATCCCACTAAACACCTCCAGTAATTATTGTAACAGTTGCAGTTCTCTGTTGAGTTCTCTGTTTGCCAACCAAAACTTCACACATGAAACAGCCTTTTACTTCAAGGGGCTTGCTGGATGTATAAGCATGTTATAGTTTTCTTTCAACAAGGGCAGCTTCAGATTTATTCTTTATCTTCTTAGCTTTCAAATTTTCCTTGGTTTCTTTATATTCAGTGTTATTGGTGGCCAGAGTCCACCAACATCTCTAATTCTACCCCACCCACAGACAACTTAAGCAGATTGAGTAGACTTCATGACTGATTCTGAAAGCAGTAAATCAACTTGATCCACATTTACATGCAATTCTTCTTGTACTTGTTTAACCCCAAGATTTTTTGGTTTGGTTTTGCAGACACTAGCAAAATGATCTTTTCCTATACACTTCCTACAAGTCTGACCTCTAGCAAGGCATTTTGGATCTCCACCCAGGTGCCCACTGGACCCACAACTATTGCAATGTTTGAACCTGCCTTTCTGTATCCTGCTTACCTATAATTTGTGTTCTTTACATGCAAGTGAGGGTTAGCTGACTTTACATCTGACACATTTGCACAGGACAAGGTCTCTTATCTGGTTGTCAAAGTTTGCACCAAAATTGAAATCCTTTCCTACTTTTCTTAATCCAGTTACAAACTGGAAAACAGTCTCACCTTCCTTTTGTTGGAGTTGGTGAAATTTCTGATGAGCAAAACGTGAGTTGACATGTGGAAGAAAATATCCATTCAATGCTGTGACAGCTGCAGACATAATTGTTTGCTTTGCAAGTGTTCATGAGTTTAGAGAAGATTTCTTGGACATCTGGGCCTGTTAAATGGAGTAGCATAGTTCTTCTTCATTATCTTGTGGTTGTATTTTTACTTTCATTAATAATTAGACATAGCGGACTCTAAGTGACAATCAAACTTGGGAATTGCCTTTAAAGTTCCATTTTTGTTCAAAGACATCTTGTGCTGTGCTTATGCTGTGCTGATTCCATGCTTATCATGGCCAATGTTGTGCTGCCATGCTATGTAAATTGGTGAAGAACAACCATGAATTGTACACAAATAAGCTGAACATGTTCTTTTATATATTTTTTCTCTCTCCATGTTCTCTTGGCCATTGTTACTTAACACATGACATAAAATACATTTTATTATTACTATTATATATTAATATGAAATATATTTTATTATTGCAATAGAGAGAGCTATGCTAAATCTGTGCTGTTTTGCCCTTGAAGGATTTGGCCACTCCAAATGAAGCCTCTTCATCACAGGAAGGCCAGCAGAACAGGAGACTGAAAGTCACTTTGCTGAGTAGTGAGTGGAGATCATCAACTGATAGAGAAGTCTCAACTATCAGTAGAAAGCTTGCTATACAGTTAGCTAAGCATCCTAATGTGGAAGTTAGTGTGTTTCTTCCTAAGTGCAGTGAAGAGGACAAGAGAAATGCTGTGAGTCACAAAATTCAGCTCATTGAAGCAGATAAACTGCCCGGCCATGACCCAATTTTTTGGTTGTCATCTTTACCCAGAAACCATGATGTAGACTGTGTCATTGGACATGGAGTGCATCTTGGCAAACAAATTCCACTCATAAAGAAGAATCAAGACTGTAGATGGATTCAAGTTGTTCACAGTGTTCATGAAGAAGTGGGAATGTACCAGAACATTTCTGAAGGAGAACAACTTCAGCAAACAGAAGTAGAACTTTGTCAGATGGCCGATGAGGTTGTAGCAATAGGACCCAAAGTGGCAGAGGCTTACAAACGCTACCTTAGTTTTGCTAAAGAAAAGAAAACCATTTTAGATCTCACCCCAGGCGTTTTCTCTGAATTTTCTAATGTAGTACAAGCCACTGAGGAAAGGAAAACATTCTGTGTTTTAGTGATTGGAAGTGGTGACAGCTGTGAAGATTTCAATGTTAAGGGGTTCAACATGGCCGCTGAAGCAATTGGTGAGTTAAAAGATGCATCCTTCCAACTGAAGTTTCTTTATTCACCAAGAGAAAAAGGCAAGGAAATAGCAGACAAGTTGCTTCAGCATGGCATCAGTCGTAATCAGCTAATTGTTCGCAGCTTTAGTGACAACAGAGAAGTATTAGCCAACTTGTTCTGTGAGGTGGATCTTGCAATAATGCCATCAAAGACTGAAGGTTTTGGATTACCTGGTCTTGAAGCCTTATCTGCTGGTCTGCCTGTACTTGTCAGTGGTAATTCAGGACTTGGAGAAGCTCTCAGAGAAGTGCCCTTGGGCTCTTTTTATGTGATAAACTCTGAAGATCCTAAAGACTGGGCCAGAGAAATCAAAGCTGTACGTCAAAAGAGTAGGACAGTACGCCTTCGGGAGTCAAAGCTTCTCCGTGACTGTTATCAAGAAACTTATGAGTGGGAGAAACCATGCAAGATCCTGGTGGAAAAGATGCAGAACCTTGCACTTGGTAAAAGCTTTCATTTATAATAGCAATGTATTTGTTTTTTTAACAGTGAAAATATGATGTAAAATACACTGTTCTAACATGCACAGATATACCTGTACATGCTGTAGACAGTTAAGGTTTTAAATGATGATGGCCATTAGACTCTTTGTTGGCCAACTTTTTGTAGGAGTGGTCAAGGAAGACATCAAATACATGTAATCTCAGCAGGAAGACTTAACTCCAGATTGAACTGTCTGGACATGAGGTCTGAAGTGGGTTAGGGTGCTCTAATGAATATATATATATATATATATATATATGTATATATATTTATATAAATGAGTAGTGGTGTAGTTCAAAGGACCCCACTTGGTGGGGGAGGGGGTGGGAATTTAAAATTTATTCCAGTCGGACCAGCATTTCACCTGGGAGTAAAGTACAGCATATCTAGGTGCTTAGTGCTATGGAAAGCTTAAGAAAGGTTTGCTCCAAGGAACCATTTTTTGATATACTTTATCTTCATATATAGGGAAACATAGCTAATTCAACATGCTAAATGTAATTATGTTGTACACATACATTTGGTTTGCTAGGGTCATCAGAAATCAGGTCAAATACACCAGTCAGGAATAAGAGGCCATCATCCTTTTCTGTTACTGATCAACCTTCCAAGAGAATCAGAAAAGAGTTGACTCATCATGATGGAGGTAATTGTACAAGTTTTGACATCATTTCATACTACGGTTTGTTTTTAATTTGTAAGAACTGCATAGCCTATTAGTAATTGATTGTTTTTTATATGTGTACCACTTTCATTATAGTGCGAGTGGAATTTTGAAACTGTGTTTGCATGGGTCATGGAAAAAAGTAAAAGTGGTGACAGTCATCAATATCTCTCCTTAGAACCCAAAAGTAATTTAAGTTGAGTGGATTGTTTGTTCAGAGAGGTCTAAGAAAATTGCCCAAATTTAGTTATCTGATCAGAACAAAACAAGGAATACCTCGATGAAATTGTTCCTTTTGCATTATTTTGAACCACAACCTTGATTCTAGATCATGGAAAATACTAAACAAGTCCTACAAAGGGTAACAGAAAGCACTGAAAGTCTCCAAATCCTTTATGTTGTTAAAGTGCTAGACTCCCAGGATAAATCAGAATACTTTTAAGTATTCAGAGTGTGGGAAACTAAATATGATTAAAAATACACTGTTCTAACATGTACAGAGATACCTGTGGTATGGGAAACAGGACATTGCCAAAATCATGTTGTGTCTAATTTTCAGCTTTGGAAGGCTCCTCTGGTTGCTGTGTTCAAGATTTATCTGTTGAATATGGACAATTTCCTTTGTCTTCTGACAAACTCAGTCATCAGAGGAAACACACTCAGAGTGAGTTGAATTGCAATGAATTATCAGTGCTATCTCGTTGTTGAGAAATGTCGAAAGATATTGTTAGTGAGCTTGCATTCTATCTTTTGCTGTCATCTTCTCTATGGGGACCTTAAAGCAATTTAAATTTCGTGCATTTTGCTGT